ATAAAGCAAACGGCCAAAAATATAAAACCCAAATGGAAGGGTTACATGTAGGCGCTTTAACGACCTGGGCTGGTAAGAGTTGTCACATTCATGCCATATTAATCTTCTGCTGATGTCAGTTTGCACTTAGCACGTAATCTGAATATGAGGTGAAGCACAGGTGAAACAGTGCATTTCTAATACTCGTGTCTTCCACCTATAGTGCACAGAAACCAGTGTTTGAAAATCCAGCACTGTGGTGCCCAACACGCATATTTGAAGGATTGTGCTTTCTACTGTCTGTCATATTTTCTTCTTTCCTGTTTATCTAGATAGCAGTAGTTTTTTTTTTTCTTGCCTCCTTAACATTTGCTTTTTGTGCACATCCACTCCCGTGAGGCGGCTCTGTAAGCTTCTCCCTTCTCATTTCCAACCCTGTCTGTCTGGAAGTGGGTCACAGACTACAGCTGTGCTAAAAGCTTTTCTAAATAAAACACCATAAGCTCAGCAGTCTTGAGCGTTAGTCATCCCAACACTTGAGGAAGTTAAAGAGAACTGCATATACGGTTACACAGTGTCTGCTTGTTTTTCTTCATATGGAAATTAGAACAGGACAACGTGATACCCGTCAAAGCATCTTCCCAAAAAGTTTCCAGCCCGGTGAGGGGCTTTGGTTCTGGCGATATTTGCTTTTTAAAGCATATTCCTATGAAATACTGAAGAAAAAGTAAAAAAAAAAAAATACATTCTATGTTTTAAAGGCTTTTTAATATATACTGCATTAAATGTATTCAAAGAGACAAGTTTTAAATCAGTGGGACGTCCAGATCACAGGTCTAAAATATGAATGATCCAATCTGTCAGGCGTCCCACTGGTTCTTTTGCACTGCGAAATATTCTAATATTTATATTTTATGTCTCAATGATGCAGACATTGAATTTGAATACTTGGCATGCCCTGAATCAGTTTAGTTTTCCTCTGGCGCCATCTTGAGGTCGACATTATTTCACTGGTTTAGTAGCAATACAATCCAGAATGACTGAATCCCGTATTGATAACCTCACTAACGTTTCATTTATAAAAAAATAAAGTAGCAAGTGTTGTTTTGAACTGTTCAGTTTAAATATTCAAGCTAATCTAAACTGCATATTTTTAATAAAATATTTAGTTTTATTAAAGTGCATCCAGTTAGCTCTGTTGCTGTTGCAAAGGTGGAGCTTAGAGTTATTTCCAAAAGTGTTCGAGCCCCTTGAGCTATTTTGGAAAGAACAGGCATATATAAAATTTTCCTATCATTTGCTGATCACACACTTCTTCCAATTAATCCTAGTTTGTTTTTTAATGTAATAAATTATGGGAAAATTCCATAGGTATGAATAATTTTGCACAATCAAAAGTGATACAGATGACATAGAAGTAACACAAATAGCAATGAAGATGTGGTTCTTTGAAAAATGTAATTGCTTCTCAAATGCTATAATGGCTCTGCTCATAGTAAGGAAACGGTACGATTCGGAAAATCGCCCACTGCTCTTGTGCCACTAAGACCAGATGCTCACCGTCTCTAAAACCAATGTTCTGACGGAAAGAAGAAACTTTGCTGCAGTTACCACTGATGTTACTGCACTACAAAAGCATTGGATACCACTAAAGATGACCTGAACTCTGGTCCAGGAAGAATATTTGTGGTGAAGAATATTCAGGCTCCTCAAACATTAAGGCTCCTTGAAATATGGCTGCATTCAAAATGCTTATCAACGGTTTACACGCTTTCATGGATGCTACCGTATGCGACACTCAGCAAACCCTTCATCACTGTGTAATGAATATTAATTAAAACTGAAGCGGTGAGTTATGTGCTGAATTGTCATTAAATCTTTAGACTGGATGAGGCCAATGTAAATGCCGAGAGGCCCGCTCCGCAGTTTAATGAAGAATCTTCAAAGGTCACTCGTGCAGACAGTGGCTTTTATAAAACACTTTTCATCCAATGCTTTTATTAAGATGGCAAAGACTGTTTTATCAAACTATTTTTGGTAAAAATAGTTTATCAAAAATAGTATTTTCAGATGTATTTTGGAAATACTCTGCTGTTCTCTGGTGAACTAGGTGCTATTTGATCATCTCTTTTCTGATATAAAAAAAACAGTATAACTTTTGTGTTATGAATCAAAGTCCTTCAATGTTTAATTTGCAAAGCTACTTTTCGAAGGTGTGTGTATTAACACACCTACCATAGAGTTGATAGTTTTCTGTTGATGCGCAGTACTTCTCTGAGTGCAATGTCTGTGGTTGTATGTGCATGTGAGTGTATGTGTATGTATATTTATCTATGCACTTTTCCATATATTACTTCTAAGAGAAAATAATACTGTATGAGCTTATTTCATCATTTTAAATACAAGCTGTTACTCATCGTTTATGTAAATGGTTTTGTTGTTGTTGTTTATTTATTTTTAAAAAAAAATAAAAAAGCTTATTTGTCTGGAGCAACCACTCTGATTCCCGGATTTCATTCATTGATTAAATGCCTGTGTGTCCGTGTTGGAAAAGAACAAGTTTAATCCCATTGGCCCCATTGTACGGGAGTCTTAAAAAGAAACTGGAACTATCTGTAACAGCTTACTGGATTAGAAGAAACCCTTCCTGAACTCATGTAACCTGGGTGACTGGGGCTCCAATTATGTTACAAGAAAACTTGTGGTTTTAGTTGAACTGAACCTTATCTGCGATGTAGATGAAAGCTTATTCCTAGCTGGTGACTCAGTAACTTGTAACAAGTGCTCAGATGTCAAACCACATCAGTCATTCCCTATAAATAGTAAAGCTTAAACGTCTGCGACAAGTGTAACTAATTCAGAAATGAGTAGCTTGATGGCATTTGTCCACATTTAGCGTTCACACTGTCAATATTTAAAAGTTTTCATGTTATTTGACAACATTTAAAAACAAAACATTTTCATCCTCAATACGACCTTCACCTGTTTTTATTTTTTTTTATGTTTTCATGGCACCCAGGGCCGAGAATCAACTCAGTGATTCTCGACTCTCACTGACCGCAATGTTGCACCTGGAGTTGAGAGTCTTTGAAAGTGGAAAGTTTGTGAATGTCAACGTTCAGAAAAAGTCCATTTGCTTTGGAACAATAGCAGGATGATCTAATAGTATTACATTACTCACTCCTAAGCTGAGATAGATAACCAGCTTAGCCCACTGTAGGCTATTGGGTTAACTATTTCCGATCCCATTGACGTTGCAGGAAGCCTGGCTTAAAATAATAAGAGGAGCAGCCTCAGAAGGTTATAAAAGGATGCACAAAAACGGTTTGAGGTAGATGCCGGATTATACGTGTGCTATTCAGACCTGAAACAGGCGGGTGAGTACACAGAGATCCAGACTCTTCCTGGTGAGGCTGCAGCACGCCCTGAGCTCCTCGCCTCAACTTCAGCTTTCTTCCACCCAACCGCAATCTGTCAACATGGACCCCGCAGCTCAGACGCTGAACGCCAGCGCAGCCTTCAACAGAGAGGCCTTGCCCAGGAGAGCCATGCGAGCGGCACCCAGAGGAGCCTCGTCTCACTTTGTGGGGACTTCGATTGTGATCCTGTCTTCGTTTGCTGTCTCCACCTTAGCTATGAACTGTGGGAAGAGGATCCAGGAGTCGAGACAAAAACCTCATGGGAGCTAAAACACCTGGACTGATGAATGTATGCCTTCAATAGCTACCACGAGTTAAGAGTTCTTTGCAAAGCAATATTATCTGGCTCTTGTGGTCAGCTTTCTCGTGTCCTTGTACCATAAAGTGTGGTTGTATGTTTAGCATGAGGCATCTTAACGAATAGTCTGAGGAACCAGAAGGATGTGAGACCCCCTAGTGGACGACTTTGAGACTCCTCTGGCTTCCACCAATGTGTGTTTTGTTGAACTGGTGCTGATTTCAGAAAGGTGGAAAAAAAAAATGCAGTAATATCAAGAAGCCAAAATGTTACCTCAAATTTGTTGTCATGCTGATGAAAACATGTAAAACTAGAAAGAAAAAAAAAAGATGGCTCTGCTCAGAGTGTGCAGAAAGGTGAAAGGTGCAAATGTTAGAATGTGTGGCCTACAGAAAGAAAGATGGCATGTAATCTTTAGTCTGTTTGGATCTGAATAATCTTATACACCTTCAGACGGACTTTATAGATTTTATTAACAGAAAATCCTCTTGAGTGGACTTTTAATATGTGACTTTAATCGTTTTGTAGAATCACACTCTCATCAAAGCTGTTCTCAAACTACAGAACAGCAAATTTTAACCTCACAAAGCAGGGCACAGAGCTCCCCCTAATGGTGGCTGGTTAAATTTCTGTTACTCCTTAATAAAACTACATGGTAGCAGGAAAATATTTCACTGACTTTTTTTTTGTTCAAATTTTCAATTGCAATAATATTATTAAATCAGAAGTGTCCAAAATGCTACCCATGGGTCATTTGGGCTCCTAACTGATTCAAGAGTAATTACAAATATGGTTGCCCATAATATGCAGGTGTCTTTTTTTTTCCCTTTAGTGCTAAATTTTTGACATATTAAAATCTTAAAAGGGAACATGTTAGGAAAAACACTTGGTATTTATCTTTTACTTGTTTGCTTTTTAATTGATCCATCGATTAAATGGGTGGATGAACCTGGATATTTGGTTCATCCACCCATTTAAGACAGTTAAAGATACTCAATATCGAATTATGTACGTTATGCATAACATTTGATCTCTACGACCATGATAGACTCCCGGGCACACACTAAACATACTGAATGAGTGAATATGTGTGGATGGGTAAATGCGAGCACAGATGAGATTGATGTAACACACTTTGAGTAACCTGATTGGCTAAAAAAAGAGCTATATAATTATCTTTTGCTGGTGTAAACAGTGTTTTGCTTGAAACTTAACCACTACAGGGCTCCAAACCTAAGTTTTTACATAAAATATATTGTGGCCAGGTGCTCAGTGAATCGTTTTGAACAAGAATCTGGAGAAAGCATGTTTAACACATTATTTTATTTACTAAAAATAATATCAAAGATTGCAGTTTAGATCACGAATAAATCAACTAGTGATGATTTTTCACACTCTGTGAACATCTTAGTGGTTTGTGCTGCAGGAGAATATTCTCCAAATGAGCCTCTAATGTCCAGGATGAGTCACATGTTCTGATGCCTCTTCAGAGTGACTTTAAACTCTTCAGCCTCCTCTCCGAGAAGAAACGGTGTGTCTGCTGAGCTCTGTCGCCTTCTGCTGATGCACTGAAGTAAGACAACATGGAACGGTTGTTCTGCCGCTGCGCCGCCTTCTCCCCATCCTCTTCATCATCATCCCTAAGTACACAGATTAAAGAGGGTTTTGTTGTTTTTTTGTTTTTTTGATTAAAAAAAGAGAGCTTGTCTCCTGATGTCAAAGGATTTTCACAGACCTAAAGTGTGATCTGTAAATCAAAGGATTTGAGGTTTAAGATTTATTTTTGTCTTCAAACAATTTTTTTTTTTTATGCCTGGAAAAAGTCCTCGGGCTCCTCACCAGTGTACAGGCACCGCCTTGCTGTCCATGAGAGTCTGAGCCGTGCTCCAGCTGAATCTGACAAACTGAGGGTAACCAAACACAGGGTCCAGGTACTTCAGCAGCCACTCTTTAGTTTTGGGGTCTAGCAACAGAAAACAAGAAATTGTTTGACATCGTTTTCCCACTTTGGCCTTCGTTTAGAGACAAATCTCTAAATCTATGCAGCACACCGAGAATATGTGAAAATATGTGCGAAAGCACTTCGACACGTCGAATGCTGTTACCATTGGGATATCCTGAGCCATAATCTGCATCCATCTCCCCCAGGTCTTCTGCAAAGTTCCAGCCTTTCACAACGCGATCTCTGGCAACCTGAAAACCACAACCAGAACTTTCACTGTGAAAATAAAGCAAGAAAACATGACTATAAAAGCACAGCTCAGAATCTCAGAGAGATCAATAAGTGTTGTCAATCATTTCTGAAAGTGAAACCCATGAATTCATTAGTCAGGGAATTTTACTCAAATTTACACCACCAGGTCTTTGCAACATGCCTGGAATGGGTGACAGTAACCTGCCGTGTGTGATTAGTAGTGCAGTTTTTCCTGTATCTTACCAAACAACAAAAACATTGATGCTGGTGAACATGGAGTATCTTCATGCACGGACATAAAAACAGAAGAATGCCAGCAGCGACAGGAAACAGTAAAGCAGCTGCCGGACGAGAAGGAAAAGAGGAAAGTAGCGAAAGCGAAACCTTCAAAAGGAGGTCAATGTGAGGCAACAATAAAAACATCCCTGTGATGAAGCAGCAAAGGAAAATGCATGTCTTAAAATTGATTGGGAAAGGTTTTATCATTTAGACAACACTTGTATTATACAAATATAAAATAACATTTCTACCCGGGAGAGATTTAAATTTCAAAGGAAGCATGATGATTTCGGCATAATCTTCAGAAATGTTCTGGATGTAAATCAGGTCAAACAAACTCTAGAAATAGGACGAGACATGATCAACAAAAAATGAACAGCAATGCCTGTTGGCTGACTGACCTTTGCACAGATGCTGGCCGCGCTGACAACAGGAAAGAGGGAGTCGGCTTTAGGCCTCACAGTCACCTGGATGCCAGGGAACCGCTGGGACAGCTTCTCCTCATACTTCTCTGCTGGTCCGACTGTGTCCACGTACACCTGAGAAGCATCGGAGATACAGGACAGCACAGAGAGGAGGTGATATGGAGCGAAAAGGGAAAAATAGAAAAGGGGAAATGGCATATAATGAAGCATCAAGCTGCAGGTGCTCTGCAGATATTCAGAACTAGGTTGAAGAAATGAAACTGTTTGGTGTAAGGTTTACAAACCTCCTTAAGCTGTACTCCACTGTCCAAGGCATACTGGATCAGACCAATGGCTGTATCATGTGACAGGGCATTCAGGTTGTATTTTGTCCTTGAACCAAAATTAAAAACAATGTTATTGTGTGTGTGTGTGTGTGTGTATACGGTAATTGCAATCACAGGCTGGCACAGAGATGAGCTCAATGTGCCCTACCTCTGCAACATGCTGGTGGAGATCATGTTGGGTGAAAGAATCTGCAAAGCCCAGCCTACGTAGCTTTGTGCTTCATC